AGGGGGGTATAAAAATTCAGCTTTGCTGTGAAAACACTTAAATCTTCTCTTAAGGAATTTCAGGTGTACAATACATTGTCATTAACTATTATCAGTACATTGTTTGCTAGATCTCTTGAACTTATTGCTCCTAACTGAAATTCAGTAAGTATACAATTCTGTATTTTTCCATTAACTCCCCAATCCTCTTTGCCTTCCACCTGTGCCCCCTGCCAACTCCTAGCAACAACCATTTTATTTCTTCTTTTATAAATTTGACTTTTTTAGATTCCACATGTGAGATCATGCTGTATTTGTCTTTCTGTGCCTGGCTTATGGCACTTAATGTAATGTCCTCCCAGGTTCATCCATGTTGCTGCAAAATGACAAGATTTCTTTCTTCTTTTGTGAGGTTGAGTAGTATTTCATTGTTTATATACACAACATTTTCTTTGTCACCTAAGTGGACACATAGGTACTACAGTAATAGGGTATTGGGCAGGTGGGAGGGGGGAGGGGGGTGGGTATATACATATATAGTGAGTGAGATGTGCACCATCTGGGGTATGGTCTTGCTGGAGACTCAGACTTGTGGGGGGAGGGGGTAATGGGCATTTATTGAAACCTTAAAATCTGTACCCCCATAATATGCTGAAATAAAAAAAACATTAAAAAAAAGTGAGCATTTTTACCTCTTGTACTTGGGTGATGATGGATATATGCTTATGTTCACCTGTGCCTCTGGTGAGTCCTTGGATTTAGGTGCTTCAAGCTTCCAGCTAGGTGGCTAGAAGCCTTCATTTCCTGTGCCTAAGAAAAAAGAATTAGAAACTTAGTTGATAATTTTTCAATATTTGCCTGCAAGGTAGACATAGTACAGTGAGAGAAAAGAGAGAGAAGAAACATGAGACAGAATTTGAAATACAGAAAAGGGGAATACAAATGTAAAGTTAGATACATTCCCACTCAAGAAAAGTATAACTTTTTATCACTATTAGTATTCAACATTGAACTAAAAGGTCTAGCCAGTGTAATAAGTGAAGAAATATAAATAAGAGGCATGCAGATTAGAAAGAGGCAGAATCGTCCTTATTGTGAATTTTATGATCATCTACCTAAAAAATGAAAGATAATCATTAGAACTAATGAGAGTTCAGCAAGTTATCAGACCCAAGGAAACATATTTAGAAAAGGTAAGCAAAAAACCAAATTAATGACATGACACACTCATTTCAAAATAATTGTATAGTAACTTATTAAAAGAGCTGGATAAAATTTGTTTAGAAATAAGACACATTTCTATTTTGGCTGTCCTCTTCAGGTTCAGATGTGGCTAAAAATTATACTGACATAATCTTTAAACAGTTAAAATTCTCTATTTGTGTCTTCTCTCCATTTTTTACTTTTGCAAAAATATTCTATGCATTAAAGTTTTTGCCAAGCCTCCCACACATGCAAGTTTTGTTTCCACAGTCTGGGTCCTTTTCCCTTTTCTGCCTTCCTCCTTGATGAGTCTTTTTTTTTTTTTTTTTGTCCTGACTTTGGATACTGATGGAGCTTGCCATAACTGATGGAGCTTGTTATATTTCTTCCTGGGCAATGTTTGTTTATTATGTGTTGGGTTTATTGAAAAGATTACTGGCTTCAGACTCAGGTACATATAGTAAGTTATTTAACCTGTTTGTGTCTCAGTTGCCTCATCTGTGAAATGAGAACGGTCATAAGTGAAGACTAAATGTGACTGATGTGTCTTAAGTGTCTAGTGCAGAAGATGTGAGTTACAGATTCAGGCCTCTAAGGCCAATCACATCCACCACTCTCCATTCTGGCCAGAAGAATCATGCAAAATAAAATAAAATGAAGTTAATGGCTTGGTATAACTGGCAAAAGCCTCAGGTCAGGTAAATCAGGGTAAACATTTTGAAATCAAATAGTATTTATGTTCATTTTAATTTTGGTGAAGTATAATATATATACAGTAAGGTATATGAATCCTAAGTATACAGCTTAATTAATTACTCTTTATACATATGTATATATAAATATATATTACTCTTTATGTATATATATATATATACACACACTGCTCTGTCATATCACTTCTCAGTCAATAACTAACTACCTCCAAATGCTTATATTCTAACTTTTATTTATATTGGTAGAGAATACAAAGAAGAATAATATATAGTATATGGGCCCTTACCCTGGCAAATAGCCTTTGTTCTCAAGACCTACCTGACTTGTGCTGTCTTGGCCATGTCATTATAACTGTCAGTGTCAATCCTTTGAGTATAGACTAGATTTGATGTAAGATAATATTCAACAGACCAGGTAACAAGTTTTAGAAGCTGTTATTGAAAGAAACTTTGAGAATCCAAAGCAGTAACTCAGCTATTGTGCCAAGTACTACTTTTATATGGTTTCCATACAGGGGTCCTGTGCAGTGTTAAACCTTGCCAAAGGAGGTTGAGGATGAGTCATATTTGCTATTATTTGATGCTTTTCTCCGATGGCATGGTTTTAGAGTGAGGACATTTGTATTCATTGCCTTAGCCAGCACCAAGAAAGGAGCTTTCCATTGCTGTACCAAAATCTCAGTCCCCTGATGGGGCCTTTGGGAAGAAAGCTTAGGAGATAGAGGCTTTTGAGTGATACTATATAGAGAAATATTTAGTCAAATATCTCTCTTTGGATTTTTTTTAAAACCACCTATTCATGAGGAAGTATGATTAAACTTTAATGACTGCCTCAATGCTCAGAAAAGATTGAGAGATAAGGTTTAATAGGGCAGAATCATTTTTTTTCCAAAACAATTCTGTTGATTTTACTAGCTTCAACACATTCCTGGCCAAGGCTTCTGTTTATTGCCACATTTCATACAAAAGGAAAACTCTCCTTGGAGTTCCATCCCTGAAGGAGACATCTTGAACAACATATATTTCAGGAAACATTTTCTTCCATAGCTTTTGTGAGGCCATGTTCTCTTGGTTTCTCTGAACCTCTCTAATCTTTGTCTTCAGTCCTCTTTGAAGGCACCCTCCCTCCTATTTTTAACTAGATGTATTTCCTGCAGAGTTTGCCTCAGACCCCCTTCTTTTCTCACTCTATAGACTCTCTCTGAGTAAATATTATCTATTTTTGATTTTTTATTGATGCATAATAGATGTACATAGTTTCAAGGTACATGTGATAATTTAATACATTCATATAATTTGTAAAGGTCAGATTGGTGTATTTGGGATATCCATCACCTTAAATATTTGTCTTTTCTTTATGATAGAATCAATTTCTTCCCTTCTAGTCATTTTGAAATGTAGAATAGATTATTATCAACTATAGTTACCCTATGGATCTATCTAATACTAGGTCTTATTTCTTCTATCAAACCATATATTTGTACCCATGAATCAATATGCCTATGTATATCAATTTTATATGTCCAGCTTATATCTTTCTTCTGCACCCCAGAACAACTCTATTATTGCCTACCTGAACCTTCCATTTGTCAAGTATCCAAGGAACTGTAAACATGCTAATTAAAAACAGACCTTACAGACTTTCCATACCTGCTCAACACCACCCTACCTGCTCTCTGTCAGTGCTTATATATGTGAGCAGTTCCTAAGTTTCTTACACCAGACACTAAAGACTCATCCTTGACCTCTTCTGTCTTATACTCCATGTCACCAAACCTTCTATGTTGCTATTGCTTAAATGTCTTCTAAAATCCATCTACTTCTCTCTACCTTTCCCTGGTCTAACCTATCTTCATGTCTGGCCTGGACAACTACAATGGTCACTTTATTCTAGCTTCCTTCCAGTTTCCTACAGCAGCCAGTGTGATATCATTGTTACAACAATTAACAAAATCTTTAATGTGGGTACATCTTACTTCCCCTACCTCCTCTCATGCCATGTTCATCCCAATCTGTGAGCCCTACTGGTCTGCTTTCAGTTCCTCAAAATAGCATTCCCTTTATGCTACAGGGCTTTTGCATGAACTTTTCTCTTAATGTGGACAATGCTTTCTCTAATTTTTAAAAATCTTATCCTGCAGATAGATGAGTTCAAATGTCAGTTCCCCAGGGAAGCACGTCCAACTCTCTCATCCAGATCAAGTTTCTCCATGATAACAACTTGTTCCTTTCCCTCAAAGCACTTGATTTGGGTTTTCATAATATTTGTTTATTTGATTTTTTAGCTGAAAATTTATTGTCTTCATCAGGCTGTAAACTCCATAGTATTGGATAAATGTTCACTGAGATAGATATATAGAATCCATTTTTACATGGAGTTTTATACTTAGTAGGTTCTTGATAAGCATCTTTTAAAATGCAGTGAGTCAGTAGTGCAAAATGACCATAACTGAGGTAAAGTACTGTGGTCACTGGGCAAACTGAATGTTCTTTTTTCTTTCAGTGTCCAAAGCACACTCTTGTATTTACTGCTCCATTGAAGGCAAGGAAGTAGTATCTCTTCTTGGAGCTCTGGCAAATGGAAAGGCACAGTGAGTGTTGGCAGGATATAGATGTTAGGGAAGGGTAGTAGGGGTAGAAGAAGTCCTTTCCTTCTAGCTCCTGGTCTTCAGTTGTGATGCCAAATTGCTTAAATCCAGTGCCGTTCAAACTTTTGCAAACATCAGAATCAATAGGAGGACGTGTTAAAACTCTGATTCCTGTGGCCCCACCTCCAGAGACTCTGATTCAGTAGTTCAGGGGTAGGGCTCGAGAATTTGTATTTCTAGCAAGTTCCCAGGTGATGCTGAGGGTGCTGGTGTGGGGCCACACTTGGAGAACCACTGTGCCAAGTAACTCTATCATCATGAACCAGTCTCAGACTAATTGTCCTTCCTGGGAAGGGCCTCCCATACCACCTTGTCATAGTGACTTTCACTCTAAAGTTTATGCACTCACAGAGATGGACATTGGGTAGGCAGAGTGTGATCCCATGAGGATTCCATAGTTGGAGAATTTTTGAATGATTTTCATTATCTTAGCAGCATCAACACTTCTGTTGGATATTCCAAATAAGTAAACATGTTATTAGGTCACTGCATTTTCAGGTATTTCAAGAAATACAGTATAGTTATTAGAGTGTGTAAGAAAAGAAAAACCCAGGTGATGTTCTGTTTGGGCCAGACAGCAGATGAGTAGTGAGACAGCATCTTTTGGCCGGGACAGGCCACTCACTGTGGTGAAAGGAAGCTGACCCAACCCGGCTGGAGAATGAGGCATGGGGGGGGGGGTGCCTAAGAGATGAGCCCAGGTAGAAACAGCCTTTTGTGGGTGAAACTGGAATTTTAGTCTACTGATATCTTAGTTTGGATGTCAAAGACTTGAAAGAACACGAAGTATGAGGATGACAAAGTGATAGTGTGCACAAAGCATTAGCTGAACAATGCTTTGAAGAAGACCCATGGCTTCAGTTCTACTTTGCCAATTTACTCAACATCTCTAGACTTTAATTCCTTTACCATAAAAATGGGGTTAGTCGAGATCAAGGGTCAGGGAATTTTTTCTGTACAGGGGCAGATGGTAAATAATTTAGAATTATGGGCCATACCCTCTCTGAGGCAACAACTAAACTCTACCATTATAATGTGAAAACTGCCAAAGATACTATGTAAATGAATGGGTGTAGCTCTGTCCCAAATCAGGTGGTGGACAGAACTTGGTTTGGGGGCACTAGATGATTAGTATTAGAACTTATTTTTTTGATCAGACAGTCCTATAAGTAATGATAACAAAAAAATTTAGCATGCATGCTTTAATAGATGTATACTAATTTAAAATAATATGCACCTGTAAGGTTCTAATATATTATGCACATTATAAAAATATCTCCAAAATAGAAGTTTAAAAGAAATATGATAAAATAAATAAATAGGTGATCTAATATTTTTTCTGCTTTCTAATGGATCTTCTTGTATACTCCCTTGAGACTTTAGATGCCACTCATCTTGATAGTTTTTGAGGGCTCTTTGATGTTTTAATGTCCTCTTGTTATATATGTGGCAAACCACTCAGGATGTACATCTGCTGGGTGATTATTGGCTGAATCAATTACAGAGTTAACTCTGGATGATCTGTATTAAGAGAGAAGGAGAAATGCAGACAATTAAAAATACAAGAGATGGTCTAATGTGATTTTAGGACATAGCAAGTCCCAAATCTCAGAGACTAGGAGCCCTTCTGGGCTGAGCACTCAGCACAGTTGTGGCTGCAGTGGGCTGGGCAGTAGGGAAAGTCAGTTTGAGTGGCTGTGGATAACTGAATATTCATATGAAGAAAATTGGGTCTGAACTTTTTTAGTTATGAAAACAGCCTAAGAAATCTGTTGGTTCACTCCCTTCATGTTTCAGATGACATCACTTATCTAGAAAAATTCTATGACAGCTAGTTAGAGGCAAAGTTAGGCTTGTAACTCAGGACTTTAAACATTCTCACTTAAGCCTTCTATAGGAAAAATATTTTTCTTTGCATTTCTTCAGTGCCTTTTATTTTAGAACAACTCCTTTGTCAAATTATTACGAAATTTTTCTACACAGCAAAAATTGTTCAACTCCATGTTAAGTAAACATGTAGTAAACACGTGAGCATTCCTGGAACTGGGGAAGGAATACATGTTTTGTGGTTTATTTTCCAGTATCTCTGCTTTACCTTGAACTTGGAGCATATAGACACCTGGAACTAGAAGAAAACGCATCACTAAATCTTCAGGATATTCCAGGAGAGCACCCATTTGTCCACCTGCGGTGAATATGGTGGTGTTTGCAAAGGGTAAGCAATGGATACTGAATTCAATATTTCCACTATGATTTTGTGCAAATGCTTTTATGAATTCTCCTCTTTGAAGGAAAAAGGAATAGGGAGACATTACATGTGGGAAAAGTTCATCATCAATCTTCCAAAGCTTCTCACCCAACTGCCACTGTTTCAAGAGATTAGAGAATGTTGGGGATTTATTCCATGGTGAAGGGATTTGGCTTCAGAATAATCTGGGTCCCCATGTGGGTCTAGTATTAGATTCTTGCCCTGCCCCTGGGCTCAAAGAGGATTTTAAGTAAAGTAGCTAAGGATGGACATTGAAGGATGCTGCAGGGAGTTTGTGAGTTTTGTGTAGGTGGGCTCACCAATGCAGTGTTTCAATAGATTGTGGGTTCTGCTAAGAGTTTGACAGGCAGGTCCCAGACTGGGAGTGGCCAGGATGGTTGTGCTGTGTTCATGTGGTGACAAAGTGATCTGCCTCACTCTCTTGTGAGTATAAGTTCAGCTGTGCAGACATATCTGATGTCTTGATTCTACTAGTTTCCACACAAATCCATTTGCCAGACTCATCTTTTTTGCATGTGCTTCTGGGCATTACCCTTTTCAGAAAGGCTTTAGGATGGAAGTCCCCGAGAGTCTGTTCCCTTCCTCTAAGTTAATATTTCCATGTTAAGAAGTACAAAAATTTTCTGTGTGGGTAGATGCCAGAAGGGTTCACCTTTTTTCTCTCTTCCCCATCCAACCCCAACCTCCCTGCCCCCTGTAAATGATAAACATTATCTGCCTTACAAAGACTTTGGCACAAAAACACTGTCTATCTTATTGGTTCTGTCTTTGCAGAACTCATTTCAGTAGTAACAAGCCAGATAAACACATGGAATTGTAGAGCTAAAGGAGAAGTTTTAAAACTGCCCATCTCGGATTCCCCTTCTTTTATGTCTTCTAGAGATTTGTTTTCACTCATTAGTTCTTTCATATATCTCAGTGGCTAGTTTTACTTTGAGTGCAAATTAGATAGTATTTTTTCCCTCTGCTTTCCATTTTAAATCACTTAATGAGAGTGTATGTTAGAAATATCCAGTTTTTAAACTTCATCAAGAAGTAGTGATTTTGGATGAGTGTAAAAAAAAAGTAGGAATAATGAGAAGATTCTTTACAATGTGAGAATCAGATTAGGTACAGTTCTGTCCTTAATTTCTCTTGGAAAGCCTAAAATGTTGCAGCAGTTCTAAGCTTATTCACCCTTTTTTGTTTTTTCTTTTAATGTCTAGACTAAAATTTCCTCTTGCTCTCATAGTTGAATATGAATTCCTGCCTTAGGAAAATCACAACTAATGAAATTGTCTCAAGTGGCATGAGAATCTGGTTCTCTGCAATTTTTGCATGTGGGAGAGTCCAGTGCCCTCTTAGAAGAGTGTGGCTTTATGTGTTTAGAGCTGGTAAGAGGTTGACCAGATTTGAACCTTGATGGTGTCAGAGGTAAACATCCTCTTGTAGCCAAACTAAAGAAGCTTGCCAGGCTGGGGGCAGGGGAAGATTTTCTAGGAAGTGCCCAACACAGAGCTGCCCAGCACAGGACAGAAAGTAAATAGACATTTTGTGTTGGTCTTTGAATACAGAACTGGTAAAAGCCCCAAACAGAAAAACAAAAATCTCCCAGATGTAGGTTCTAGTAAAAGACATCATTTTATCTACCTCCATCCACAAAAACAAAACAAAACAAAAACCCAATGAGAGTAAGCAATGTCTTCAGTTACTCTTCAAATGCTTCATTGCACACCTGAGTTGGTTGATTGAGTTTCCTCCCCAGGTCTGAGGGGCATTGTTCCCATTCTCAGGGGATGACCTAAGACCTACAAGGTAATTGGGTGAATTGTCTGCTCCTGAATGGAAGCGTTCCTGTCCATGAAAGTTGCCTAAAAGCTAATCACAGGTGATGTATGGGGGACCACATTCCTTCTAAATGCACCTTTCTTTTTAAGAGAGTGTTTGTACCTTTGGTTGGAAAAGAATGCCACCTCCTGCCCTCACTCCCAGGCTATTTTCTAAGGCTCAGATAAACTCTTCATCTCATCAAGTCCTCAACTAGACTGAAGGGGACTTGTCACCTTTCTGTGCACAGGTGAATTTTTGTCATATTTACTCAAGGACCTCACGTATAACTTGACATCTTTCAAAACAGAGGTGTAACTTGGACATATAATTCTTACATTTAGCATTGTGGAGGGTTGAGGATGTGGTTAAATGGCCAGGGGCCTCATTCACCTTTTCTATTTCAGGTTTATCATTGATCTGATGGGATTCCTTTCTTTTTGGAAAGGATCCACTTGTATCATGTTATGTGAATCTCTGAGCAAGAGGTATACCATATTGCTTATGATTTTGCAAGGTCCTTAGCATTTCTTCTAGCAGAAGTCTCATGTCTTCCTAGGCCCATTCAAATGCTCTTTCCACTACAATAGGTTTGGAAGACCACTAGCATGCATGACCTGTGGTCTTTAATCCTTGCCTCAGTGATCACATTTTCTTTCTTTCTATCTATCTATCTATCTATCTATCTATCTATCTATCTATCTATCTATTTATTTATTTATATTTTGGCATATTATGGGGGTACAGATTTTAAGGTTTCAATAAATGCCCATTTCTCCCCCCTCCCCCCACAAATCTGAGTCTCCAGCATGACCATCCCCCAGATGGTGTACATCTCACTCATTATATATGTATATACCTGCCCCCCTCCCCCCTCCCACCTGCCCAATACCCTGTTACTGTAGTACCTATGTGACCACTTAGGTGCTGTTCAGTTAATACCAATTTGCTGGTGAGTATATGAGTTATCACATTTTCTTAAGCATCTTCCATCTCTATTAGACCCTAGGATTCTGGAATGTCAGGGCCAAGGCCTTTTATCTTTTTTTGCACTCACCCATTTCTACCTATACTCCAGATAAGAGAACAGGACATAATGAGTGCTTAGTAACAACTTATATTTATAAAACACCTTACCTGTTACAAAGTGCTTGCACAGGACATCCTCCTGCCTAATAATAGGAGTTGAAATTAACTGAAGTAACTGAATAGAGCAGTCATATTACTGGGTAAAGGCCTAGGCATAAGAGCAGAAAAATAAATGGGACAAGGGAAGGCAAGGTAAATGCAATTAAAACACACAAGATGAGGAGGGGCAGAGCACTAATAATAGCTATTTCTAGGCCATACCAGCTCTACTCCAGGTGGGTTTGTTCTCAGCTCCGTGCAAAGAAAGAACTGCAGCCTTAATGGCATGGAGTAGCTTCTGCAAACCTGGAAAGATGGATTATAGAAGAGAGGTTCTTCTTTTTTTGATGAGAAAGATGCCATCAGGAAGAGCTCACATCATGGTCACAACCTCCTGGTTTGCTATTATTGTTGTTTTTCTTCTGCTGCTGGAAGAGTAAGCAGAAATGGGGTTCAGCTAAGCCACATGAAAGGAAAGAGATTTTCCTTTCCCCTAGGGAGGCACAGGAGAGGCAGCAGAGCAGGAGAGGACTGGGAGGTCCCAGGCATTCTTGAGTCCAAACAAATTATGAAGCCCTGGACCAGCAGTTAGAGAGGAAAGAAGCAGCAATGATTAGAAAGAACATTCTTACATCAAATAAAGGAAAACCAGACTTCAGTTCAGTAGTGATCAGTCACAGAGAGGAAGATGACTTACTTTGATTAAGTTTTTATAGATCTTCCCAATCCACTCTGAATCATAGTTTGAGCCTCTAACCTTAAAGATATGTTTTCCTATTACTTGAATAAGTTATATTTTAATATTAAACATGGAAATAAGTGTTTTATATTTCTATAGGAAAAGTATAATTCAATAGATCTTTTTCTATTCCTGCTTCTCCCTGTTCCTATAGTCAGAGAGTTTCACTGTTTAGACGACTTACCACAAACAGATACGACAATGCCAAGTAGGGTTCCCAGGAAGAAGTAGTCAGACTGTCCTTGGCCAAAATGAACTTGCTGAGAAAACACAAATGCCTCATCTCCTCACACCCAATGCCGCTTTCTACACATGGTCTACCTTACACATTTGAGGTATATAACATTAAGGCATGAATTATGTCTGTTTAATTTCTCCACCATTCTATTCCAGGACTTGGAGGAGAGATACTATAGATACTGTTTGATGGTAGTGATGAAACTGATAAAGGTGACAAAATCCTTTGTCCTATTGAAGTCCTTTGACTAGGCGCTGTGGCTCATGCCTGTAATCCCAGCACTCAGGGAGGCCAAGGCGGGGGGGGGGGGGGAAATCTCTTGAAGTCAGGAGTTTGAGACCAACCTGAGCAAGAGCCAGACCCTATCACTACAAAAAACAAGGAAAAATAGTGAGGCCTGGTGGTGCACACCTGTAGTTCCAGCTACTTGGGAGGCTGAGCTGGGAGGATCTTTTGAGCCCAGGAGTTTGAGCTTGCAGTGAGCTATGATCAGTGCCACTACCCTCTAGCCTGGGTGACAGAGTGAGACCCTATCTCAAAAAAAATCCTAGCCATTTCCCTGAAGGCAGCTGGCTCTTTCTAAGCCAGCTGAGCATCTGAGCATGTACTTTGTCTCTCTCTCTCTCTCTCTCTCTCTCTCTCTCCCCCCCCCCCCCACTCACACACATATACCGCTCTCCACCCCCATTCTAAGAGGAGGGGTCATTACAGAAATATTTAACTGGCAGGACAGTTCTAGCACACACGAATTAGAATGGGCACTTGTGGGAGAGATAGAGCAGGGTCTGGAAGGCTCCAACCATGCTGGACACCTCTGAATTGGCCACTCCCTGAGTTGCTGATTATGGGAGAGGTCTTAGGAGTGGGCCAGGGATTAGGTGGGGAAGGGCGTTTCAGGGTCGCTGTAACTGAACATTTGGGACAGCTGGTGCCCTCTGACTGAATGTCAGCCCCGAGAGCCTCTGCAGTGAGGGCAGGGGCAGCTTAGGGCCACAGCTTAGGGCAGCTAAATGTCCACTGTGTGCTTATCACTGGGCTGGGCACAGGAGGTGTAAAGATGAAAGAGACCCCATCTCAGATTTTTAGCCAGTGGAATTGATCATTTCTTCCTTTACACAGCTGACTCCCCCTCAGCATTCAGTTCTATCCCTGCATCCTAGTCATTTCTTGCGCAAAAATCACCCACCACCATGTGTGATTTAAATATATACATTTGTGTGTGGACATACGTGAACGGAGGTGCTTGTTTTCAGCTACATATATCCTCAGCTCCTATCACAGGGCCTGGTACTTAGTAGGCAAGGAATATTTATTAAACAGATGAACCAGTGGTCATAAAGTGACTATCATGAAAACCACCCCAAAATTATTAACCATCCATTCTGTGGAAAACACATCAGTGTATACCAGAAATGTAACATAAAATGCTGGGTTTCAACGCGTTCTGGGTCACCAGAGGTATGTCAGTTTCTGGGCTCACCGCAAATGGCCTTTGTGGTAGAGGAACTTTGATAGCACTTGAGACCAGGATAGAGTGTGTGAGCCTCCTGTTAATCATCAGATAAATAACACTATCAAACTACTGACTAGTTAAAAGATTAAGCTATTCAAAGTCCCCATGTATGGCCAGCTGCATGAATGATCCGAACTTTTGTGAACCCACCTAAGATACTGGAGGAAATGACACTTTTAAGTCTAAGCAAAGATCCCTTCTGGATCCCCCCAAGTTATGGGGGATTTTTTTGTTTGTTTTTTTCAACTGATTTGACTCATTTCACCCATCCTTGCAAACAAGACAAAAATAGCCTTTTGATATTTTCCCTCCCCTTCATTAACTACGTAGGTCCCAAAGGTCTCAAAGGAAAACAAGGAAAGACGTGGGGGGAAAGAACGAGAAAGTGCCACATGAGCAGTTTGTTCAGACTCCTCCTTAGCCAGGTCTCAGAGTGGAAGGAAACGGGAAGGCTTATGCTCATAAAGGGGTCCTGACGGGGTCCTACTCTCTCTCTGCTCCCTGCCTGACAACCTCTGGCCAGCTCCTACTCTACTCCCCAACCTCTGATCCTCCAGCTCCACCCTTCCTTTCCGTTGCCCTGGAGGGGAGGACATGAGTCAGCATTCAGACTTGAAAGTGTGAGCTGCCTCTGAGTCCTCAGAATGTAATCATTTCAGAAAATCTAGGACACACAACTACAGAGAAAGTCACCCTCCCCACCTCCTTCTGCTCTGTGGCCAGACATTGACTCCCACTCTCGAAATGCAGCTTTAGTTAGCTCGGGCTGAACTTTAACCTTAAAAGAAAACACAAAAAACCAACAACAAACGGTATCAGGGTGGGGAGAGGGAGGCAGGAGAGCACCAGCAGCCACCACCACCCAAGTGCAATTGGATGAAGAGATTTTGCAGAGAACTCCAGCCGGTTACCACTTTGAACATCTGGTGCTTGGCAGTGTTCAGCCTGTAACTAAAAGAGAGAGAGAGGGAAATAAAAAGCAAAAACTCATGTTCTGATCAGAGTCTCGGTCCTGATCTTAGAAGCCAGGATTAATTTTCTCCTTTATTCTTCCAAAAAAGGCAGCGCATTGGAATTCCCACCAGGTATCTTGTTACACTTTGCAAGCGCACGTCTAAACCTGTGTTTTTGGGTAGGGAACCAATTTCATTGATTTTTTTTGTTGTTATTCAGTCCACATTCTATCAGTCTCCACATTCAGGTTTTTACTTTGCACTGGAAAAATAAACTTCAATAAAAATCTCTTGCCCACCCAGAGTGACTTCTTTTGTCTTGGCTTTTGGAGAAAAGGCAAACATTCTCACACTTGGGGTTTCTATGTACTGCATCATGGATCAAACTGTTCTGAGGAGAAAAATCTACTGAAACTTCTGAAGATCCAGCCTATTCGGGTTTTGGAGGAAACCAAGACCTCAGCTGCTCTCTTGTGTAGTAATCTGGCAAAAAGTAATTTAGGAAATTATGGTTCTCCAGCCAAACAAAGGGGAAGAACTGCTGAAGCCTTTATAAAACTCTTTACCTGGCCGGGCGCGGTGGCTCACGCCTGTAATCCTAGCACTCTGGGAGGCTGAGGCGGGCGGATCACTCAAGGTCAGGAGTTCAAAACCAGCCTGAGCAAGAGCAAGACCCCGTCTCTACTATAAATAGAAAGAAATTAATTGGCCAACTAATATATATAGAAAAAATTAGCCGGGCATGGTGGCACATGCCTGTAGTCCCAGCTACTTGGGAGGCTGAGGCAGGAGGATAGCTTGAGCCCAGGAGTTTGAGGTTGCTGTGAGCTAAGCTGACGCCACGACACTCACTCTAGCCTGGGCAACAAAGCGAGACTCTGTCTCAAAAAAACAAAAACAAAAAAAACTCTTTACCTGCTGGGTTTCTTTATGCAATCTCTTGCTCTTGTGTTAAGGGTCTCCTTTCCCTTACTAATTACCAAAGTAGGCTTAGTTGAAAAGGGAGAGTGAGGGCTGAGTGCTGAAAGTCCAGCTGTTGAGTTCTTATTTCCAAGTGTCTTGTTGCCAAAACAGACAGGAAGTGGTCCCACCACACGTTTATTTAATAAACTGATCTTGTATGTTACCAACTTGCACTCTGAGGAAACAGAGAATCTGATCTTGCTCTGGCTTTGACAGTGTCCTGGAAGCACTTCCTTCTGAGGAATTACAAAGACATGCACACCTTTGTGTAAAACTGTTGAAGGAAACTAGGAGACCACCTACTGTGTGAGAAAAGTGAGGCCCAAAAGGCAAGGGCCACACAGCCAGTTAGTGGCCCACCAGGAGTAGAATTATCTGCTCTTTCTGCTGGTTTTAACATTTTCACCACAGTGCTTATGGGTATCTTATAAGAGAGGAAGAATGGGAGACGGAGGAAGGGATGTGTGTGTGTGTGTGTGTGTGTGTGTGTGTGTGTCTGTGTGTGTCTGTGTGTGTTGGGAGGACAGAAGTGTCTAGAATGATAGGAACGTGATCTAAATGGCTCTAGAAAACAACACCTATCACTCTTAGTTGACCTGGGGCTCTGTCCAATTCGATAAGTTTTCTTGGGCATTGCTCTGCAACACATTTGTGACTCTGGCCAACTCAAAAGAATGAGTAAGACATGGGCTCTACCTTCTGAATTCCACAGCCTTTTTAGGGAAATGAGCAGGTATATCAAGGCTCTGACAGTAGGTGGACTACAGAGGTTATTACAGTAGGAGTGAAAACAGCTTATCTGGGAGAGTAGAGAGGAGCCCTGTTTGTTCAGAGACCTGGACTTTCTCTGCACTTTTGGAGCTCCAGGAGACAGAGCAAGGGTGATTTGCAAGTCTTTTTAGGGGGTTGGCTTTGGAACTGGCTTCTGAGGAGTGTCTGCACTGGGTGTGTAACCAGGCAAAGGACTAGGTAACATGTGGCTTGTTCCTTTTCCCTTTGTCTCTTCTCCTAAATATTTTGGG